TTCAGCATCACATAAGCTATGATGACGTATTGAAACTTCAATTAAATCAAAAATGTCAATTTGCTTCCCAATTTGTGCTGTTACTGTTACCGTTCCATTGTTGGAGATAACATTTTGAATGTGATTCGCAATTTTTCCCTCTTCGGCTGTTCCAACGTTACTTAGAGCTCTTAACCAATATCTTAATGCGTCTACATCAACCTACAAAAAAACCTTCAATTTACATATTCACGATTATAGTATCGCCGAATACTTAATATTAGAATACCTCTGTGACGAAAAATTGCATAATATTTGCCATTATATTACAACATCCTGATTTTCCAGCTTCCACACCTATTAGATAAATGTTCCACTGATTACTTCTAATTTTTTTCGCTTCGTATTTATCGGAGTATTGACCAAAGTCCTTAATTATTTGAAGAAACATTTCTTTGAAGTCTTCAGATACAGCTGCCCCGCCTGGAAGCGCTTTTAAAACCGTTTTCGCTAAAATAAACTGAACCCACGTAGAAATTGAAGATTGCTACAAAACATAATATGGAAAAAAGGATGGCACATAATGAAACACTTACGAATGATTTCGACATTTGCAAAAGTTCTTCAGATCTTAAAATCTCCAGTAGGTTTTCATTTAACACTTGTATTGTGGTACCCCTAAATTCGCTGGTCATGAGGAGAAATTTTGTAATTTCTGCAAAAATCTCGTCTAAAATGAAATTTCGAATTTTGTAATCAATTTAATAATTTATTCGTCTTATACTTAAATGAAAATTAACACCATACCATTCTTCGTTTTCAAATTCGCGCGTAATATTTCAATAATTATATTGGATGAATGAGTGGCGACCTGTTCGTAGGACAGGCAAACTGCGAACAAGCATTTAAGGTATTCTTTAATCTAAGTTATTAAAAAAAGAATATATTGAATATATCGACAGAATCATTTGAGAATCTTGAATATTTATTCTCACAGTCAATTTATACATATTCTGGTTGATTGAATCCATAACAGAATCATCCAGAAGTTTGCGTATTATTTCTAATATCAATTTTGGAACTTTAACAACGAGGCTGTCTAGATATGTCTCTAAAAAAAAAAAAAAATTATAGTCAATATCATTCGTGATCCGCAAATTGCTCAAATAGAAAATAAATAAAGAAAACTTGGACACCATTGAGAACTAAAAATTGCTATTACCCCATTCGCTACCGACTGAATTATATGTCGTCGATTTGATTCGTTGAGTTTCAATGATTATTTCGACGAAAAATCGGGTGGTGACCACGGTCACCTCGCCGGAATGCGAATGAATCATATTCAAGCAATTTTGAATATCATGGAGAGCCCCTATCCTAACATCTTGATCAAAGCTCTTTGAGACAAGGTCAACAAGTAATTTTCCGTGTTTAATTAGGAAGGTCAAGATATGAAATATTTTTATTTTAACGGTATGTCCCGATGCATTATTTGCAAAGTTTAATAATTTCTAAATGTAATGGGAATTAAAATATTTAGAATATTCCAGTAGTCACATACATAATCACTTTTAATAATTTTATTACTCACCAATGCTTGCGAAGTCTCAAAAATGGCATTCCTTCGAGCCAACTTCATGATGTCTTCTAGCGCACCAACCCTCACACGCTCTTGTGTACTGTTGATCACATATCTTATTAATAGATCAATCTGCATCCACATGTATATGTATTAAAGAATCTTATTAATTAGCCTTGAATATACATTGTAAGACAGTAGACATACTTGAAATAACCTGGTCAGATCTGTCTATGGGTGCACGACAAGATAGAAATGTCAAGGTCTTTAAGATCGTTAACAAAATCTTTTCCTCTGAACATTTTTTCAGCAATTCCAAACAAATATGTCTCGTCTAATTGCAACAAATAACGCTGAGTAAGGGTCAAGAATATGATCAAACCTATTTAGTGAGTATACCTTATGCGTCAATTTGATGTCCCAGTGCATATGGCGCAACATTCGAATCATTTTTAATTTTAATACCAAAGGGACGTCGTTAGCTTTATGATCTGATTTAAATAAAAGATTACTTTATTGAAATGTATATATATAATTTGTGATTTGTCGTCAAAAATAGCACAAACCTTGCAATTTTGTGGATAATTTGTCGCATATAAGAATTGAAAATTTTTCGGATTTCGAACATATTTTATCTGCGGCATATATGGCCGCGTTAACCTCTATGTCTACAACCGAATCTAACCGTTGAAGTATTCTATTGAAAGAATGTTACATTGTTAATTATCCCGTGGTGAAAGACTGAACCACAAATAAAAATATGATTACCCGTGTTGAATGTCGATACGATCTGTTAATAAGATCGACATGCAACCGAGAGATCTAAAAGATGTTATTCAATGAATCAATTTTCAAAATCTCGACATTAAAGATATATCGAACCTTAGAGCTAGCGAACGAGCCTCGGGATCTGTATTCTGATTCTCCAAAAGAAAAAATATGTTCTTAACAATTTGTTCGAAAGCCGAACAATTGTTTCGCGTAAAACGACTCTCAGACTTCTTAAAGACTTCAAAAATACATCGTCGAATTCTGTTGTTCTCACTAAAGAGAAATCTTACTATTAAGATTCATCATTCGAAGTAACACTGTTACTAACAAGGGTATAGGTGTGCTACCAGGTTTTAAAACGCTCGGCAAGAAAGGTCAATGCAATCTGAATAATATCCGGGTCTGGATTCTCGTCGAATATCCGAGGAACTTCTGAAAATTCGGATAATTGTTCTTCTAACGTTTCTGCTCTACGAAGTTTGTTAATGAACGCTCTTCTTCTCTGTCTCGGATTATTATTCAATCTTTTCGTTAAAGACTCGGTAGTAACGTCATTCCATTGTCCAATGTCGGCAGAATAAATCGCGTTATGTGACATTTGATATGTATGTGTATTTTCTGCTATAGCAAAAATCTGATCAGTATAATTAGAAGAAATACGTAATAGGTGTCCAATTGTTAGACTTTTTTAAAAATATATATTATTATACCTTAATTGAAGTAAAGTATTTGAAGAAGGTAAAGACAATTTGATTTTTATCAATATAAATATTCTATTACAATAGTTTTATTAATATTTATTTCAAGAATGATTTTTTTGATAGTAGAAAACAGTACAACTATGATTTTAAAAACTTTGTTTATTATTATTATATTTTATTAATATTAATTAAACTTGAAGTATATTTTCAAGCAATAGAAAATTAAAAGAATATTAAATTGAAAATATAAATTTTACTTTTTTTTTTTTTGATTTACAATTAAACTGTTATTTATTTAATTATAAATAATTATTACAAATATAAGAATATGTGTGAAGTATAAATCTTCTTAATTCAGCTTATCTATCAATAGTATGGTTTCGAAAATTGGAATCAAACAGAATTGCAGGGAATTGCATGAGATTTGGAACACTATTAAAAATAATGGTGGGGTATACCCCACCTATTAAATTTAATATAAACTTGAGAATCAAATACAGAATCGAAGAGAATCATTAAGATTCTTAATCAATAGTCAAAGTCTTTAAATATGATTTATAAGGTAATACATATATTATTTCTTTAATAAATAGAATTAGGATATATATTTTTTAATAAAATCAAAATTTGCAAATTAACTTTATAGTTATAACTATACATGTTTTCTTATTATCATAAAAGAAAATTTGATCGACAATATGATTTTAAATTAAATACGATTTCCAATTACTTACTAATTGTTATTTAGTAATACGAACATAATATAGTTTTTGAATTAAATATAAACACATGTATAGTTATGACTATAAATTCAAATTGTAATATTTTTTTCTTGTAAAAACTATATAAAAAAAATAATAATAATAAAAATAAAAATAAAAAACAATATAAGTATATATAAAAATATATATATAATTTTTTTTAAAAAAACTATTATCATTAAGCCAAGTGAGTTTAGTGAGAATCTACAAAATTAAATCAGAATCCAAGCAAGAATACCAGTTTCACAGGTGATAAAAATGGTAATGCTGCACTATACTAGTGGTACATTTTGAGAATCAGTAATAATAACAAATAGAATATTGAAATCAATCTCTATAATAATATTCCACAATGTGCCCTACCTACAACAGATGCAATCGAAACTGGACCTAGTAGATTAGGTGATTTAAACTAATAATAGGATTTTTACTTCCTATGTAAGTCCTATCTGGTGTATGGATCATCTACTTGATATTTAAAATTCGTATAGCTAAATATGTCATAATTGATCTAGGGGAAACCAAAGGTTACTGGAAACAATGATTATCAAATAGCATTAATTTGCATTTAGGATAGCAATAGTCTACTTTGTAAAGATGTTTGATGTAATGACTACAAACAAATGTTTAATAAATGTCTTGCATCTAATGCCCTTAACCAATTAAAAAAAAAATTATTATTTATTTTAATTATTATTAAAAAGATTATTTATTTTTCTTATAATTACTAATATATATAATTACTTTTTATTATCTATAATAGAATTTCTAACAATATTATTTTAATATTAAGTTTGAATTGAATTTATTAAAACTTTAAAAAATACCAAACTGATATTAAAATAGTACTGATTTATAGTAAATTTAATATATGGATTGTAACTATGATTTCGAAAATTAAAATTAAATAAACTTATATAAACTTGCATAAGATTTAAAACACTATTAAAAATAATAGTATATTATAACCCATATAGTAAATTTAATATAAATTTAAGAATCAAGAATCAAATCAAATCAAATTATTAGAATCTTTACTCTTATATAAACATATAATTCTAAGAAGTAAAAAAATTTTATTTTTAAAAAAAGAAAAGATAAAGAAAAAGATAATATTTGAAAGTTTGTTTTGATAAATAAAAACCTTTCAATACCAATCTATCTATTAAAATATATTTTTTATTACCACTTGCAGCTAGGTGAATCATTTAATTTTCATTATTTCATTATTGATCAAAAATTTTTAAAATACTTATAACAAAATTTACAAATATTTGAACAAGTTTTACATATATTGGAAATTATTGTTTGAAACAAGTTTTACTTTGACTTGATACTTTTTTAAAATAATTAACAATAAAAAAAGCTTTTTACTAAATTGAAATGAAACTTTTTGATTTTTTTTTAAAAAAAAATTAGATTAAAAGAAGAGGGAAAAGTTATTAAATCACTTTTATTTAAAAAAATATTATAATATTTTGCTTTTTTACTTTTTTTAATTACATTATTATTATTATGTTATATAATAGGAAACATATGAAAAGTATATATCTTATTTACCTTTTTGCTATATATTAATTAGTCAATTCAAAGTCTCAACCAATTATCAACTAGAAATTCTAATATTATAAAAATTTTAAAGTCAAATTGAAATAAGCAAAATTTTTTAAAAATTTTCAAAAATTTGTTAACATACTTAAAAAAACTACTATGAATATTTGATTGGTAAAAAAGATTATATGTTTATATCTATAGATCAGAATATTAGCTTATTTATCTACTTTTAATAAAGATATTTACTTATAGTGAACTTAAGATTCTTATAAAACTTGGAAAATACATTTACTAGAGAATTCTTTTAGAATTTCAAATCTTAAAAGAGAATAGAGAATAACACTTTTTCAATAGATTTTTTCTTCTTAATAAAATATCTTTGTTATATATTAAATAAGTATATTTTAAATGTTTTGTTACTGAAATATTCAAGAAGTTTTGAAGAAAAAAAAATAAACAAGTAAAAAAGACTTTTGTTTTTAGAAATATACAATCCAGAACAAAAAAAACCATCTTTACTATTTTTATTATAACTTTATAAAAACTTATTTAATAATATAAAAATTTTAATATATATTCTTTAAAACTTAAAAAATAAGATTACTTAAAGATTTTTTATAAAATATAT